CAAGAGACCAAGAATAGCCAAGGCAAAACTCAGTCAAAAGAACAATGCTAGAGGTATCATGATACCTGACTTCAAACTATATTACAAAGCAATAACAATAAAAACAGCATGGTACTGGCACAAAAACAGACATGAAGACCAGTGGAACAGAATAGAGGACCCAGATATGAAGCCACACAACTATAACCAACTTGTCTTTGACAAAGGAGCTAAAAATATACGATGGAGAAAAGACAGCCTCTTCAACAAAAACTGCTGGGAAAACTGGTTAGCAGTCTGCAAAAAACTGAAACTAGATCCATGTATATCACCCTATACCAAGATTAACTCAAAATGGATCAAGGATCTTAATATCAGACCCCAAACTCTAAAGTTGATACAGGAAAGAGTAGGAAATACTCTGGAGTTAGTAGGTATAGGTAAAAACTTTCTCAACGAAACCCAGCAGCACAGCAACTAAGAGATAGCATAGATAAATGGGACTTCATAAAGCTAAAAAGCTTCTGTTCATCAAAAGAAATGGTCTCTAAACTGAAGAGAACACCCACAGAGTGGGAGAAAATATTTGCCAGCTATACATCAGACAAAGGACTGATAACCAGAATATATAGGGAACTTAAAAAACTAAATTCTCCCAAAACTAATGAACCAATAAAGAAATGGGCAAGTGAACTAAACAGAACTTTCTCAAAAGAAGAAATTCAAATGGCCAAAAAACACATGAAAAAATGATCATCATCTCTAGCAATAAAGGAAATGCAAATTAAAACCACGCTAAGATTCCACCTCACCCCTGTTAGAATAGCCATCATCAGCAATACCACCAACAACAGGTGTTGGCAAGGATGCGGGGAAAAAGGAACCCTCTTCCACTGTTGGTGGGAATGTAGACTAGTACAACCACTCTGGAAAAAAATTTGGAGGCTACTTAAAAAGCTAAACATTGATCTACCGTTTGATCCAGCAATACCACTCTTGGGGATATACCCAAAAGACTGTGACACAGGTTACTCCAGAGGCACCTGCACATCCATGTTTATTGTGGCACTATTCACAATAGCCAAGTTATGGAAAGAGCCAAGATGCCCCACCACTGTCAAATGGATTAAGAAAATGTGGTATCTATACACAATGGAATTTTATGCAACCATGAAGAAGAACGAAATGTTATCATTTGCTGGTAAATGGATGGAATTGGAGAACATCATTCTGAGTGAGGTTAGCCTGGCCCAAAAGACCAAAAATCATATGTTCTCCCTCATATGCGGACATTAGATCAAGGGCAAACACAACAAGGGGATTGGACTTTGATCACATGATAAAGCAAGAGCACATAAGGGAGGTGTGAGGATAGGTAAGACACCTAAAAAACTAGATGTCATTTGTTGCCCTCAACGTAGAGAAACTAAAGCAGATACTTTAAAGCAACTGAGGCCAATAGGAGAAGGGGACCAAGAACTAGAGAAAAGGTGAGATCAAAAAGAATTAACCTAGAAGGTAACACACATGCACAGGAAATTAATGTGAGTCAACTCCCTGTATAGCTATCCTTATCTCAACTAGCGAAAACCCTATTCCTTCAACAAAATTAGAGATAAGGGCAAAATAGTTTCTGCTGGGTAGGGAGGGGGTGGGGGGAAGAGGGAGGAGGCGGGGGGTGGGGGGAGTGAGGGAGGGGTGGGGGGAATGGGGGAGAAATGACCCAAACATTGTATGCACATATGAGTAAAATAAAAATTAAAAAAAAAATAAAGTAGATCATTTAAAAAAAAAAAAAGATGAACCATGTCTAAGGAACATTACAAAACTTGCTTTTGTTTATGCAGGTGCCTAAAATTCCTTCAGATCATCAGAATAAGCAGTAATACTATGTAACTTTAAAGGCAAGTTATGGTTGAGTATGCTTTGTACCATGAACACCTGTGGCCATAACGCTGCTGTGCTTTGTGGTCTCCTGAGTGTATATTTTTATGCTGACTGCTTTTTTTTTTGTGGTGGTGGTGGTAGTGGTACTGGGGTTTGAACTCGGGCTTTCTGTTCACAAGGCAGGCACTCTAGTGCTTAAGCCAAGAGACCAGCCCATTTTCCTGTGATTATTTTTGTGATAAGGTCTAGGTTTATGCTGGGGCTGGCCTCGGCCATGACCCTCCTATTAGCTGGGATAACAGGTGTGTGCCACCCAGCCCAGATTTCTTTCCATTGAGTTGGAGGCTCTCATGAACTCTTTTATGCCTGGGCTGGCCTGAAACCATGATATTCCCAATCTCAGTCTCATCTGCAGCTCGGATAATAGGTGCATGTCACTGTGCCCAGCTATATAGTCTCATGAACATTTTGCAAGGGCTGACTTTGAACTGATCTCAGTCTCCCAAGTACCTAGGATTACAGGTGTGAACCACCAGTGCCCAGATGTTGAATGCCTATTCTGAGGAGTCCTCTTTACAACTTGCCTTAATAGTGTCTTATTCTTCACATATAATTCTTTATGCCATTTGAAGACAGGAATTCCTTCAGTGAAGCCCATTTTAATTCCTCTGCCAAACAACTAAAAATTTTGTTCCAACTTTGACAACTCTATCTAGGTAGTTATGTCATTAAATACAGAAAGTTTTACATAATCAATAAAGCCCTAAAAGCCAAAAGTGCAAACAACTCCAAAGAAGACAAAGAGGAAACTACCCTAAGTAAGTTCACCACTCTGTCCAAGGGGCCTCAAACCCAAATGAACAAACCTGAACTCATTATCTTCCTCCCAAACTTGTCTCCATCCATGTTTCAACGAAGTGTCATCCCTTCCCATTGCACCCATTTCTGTCCTCTGTCTGTTTTTTATATTATGTTCTCCCCGCTTCTCTATTGTCACTGCCCCAGTTCACTGGGACACTAAGCTAGGCATTCCTAGTGGCCTCTGACCTATAGCCCAGCTCCATCCAAGCCTCTCCACACTGATCTTTCATTAAAAACAAACAACAAACAAAAAATGACTCTGACCTCATCTCATACCCCAAACTCTACCGTGGTAAGTAGAATAAAATCAGAGCACCTTTAGCTCTGTACCATGAGCTCCATTAAGGCCGGATGGACAGCATCTAGCACAGAACCAGGTACTCAGTTGGGACTTCAGTAAGTACTCATGATGTGAGCATCAGGCACTCACAGCTGTCTGTCTAGCCTTGCCTCTCGCTTGACCACTGCTTGCCTCACACTTCATGCCAATAAATTTGCAGTAAAATAGCTCTTAAATATGTCCCTTTCTCAACCTCAGAAGCCTTCCTTCTTCTACCAAATCTGAGAAATTCCTTCTTATGCACCAAGTCTGAGTTCCAATGCTTCTCCTGTGTGAAGCCAGTCAACAACCTCACCTATAAACTAATGTGCTCTGTGACTCTCTGCTCCCACTGTGGTTTTACCAGCCCCAGCACATCTGTATTCCTGCGATGCTCATTTACAGCAGGCCCTGGTCCCATGCTTAAGGCCTACACCAGGACTTGGCCTGTGATCTCCAGTACTACCAAGGCTCATGACATAGAATAAGCACTTACACAGTCAAGAAATAAATGAATAAATAAAATAACAATGATGGCAATAATAGTAATGCCATGTCCTACTTACCATGTACCAGGCTATGTTTCTGATTTTACATATATAATTATATGTATCTATACAGTACTTTGTGTGTATGTGTGTGTGTGTATGATTCATTTAAAAAGTGAAAAATAAACAGTAAGAATAGTTTTACCTTCTTACATACCAATTAAGCAAAGATAATAATCTTTGGCCAACACATAAATATGGGATCCTTATTATCTGCTTTACCAGATGGGGATACAGTCTCCATCAGCAATGCGGAAAAGCATCTCATTTAAAATGAAGTTGCTCCCTGTTTTCAACTCTATTTCTTCGACACATTAGGAAAAGAATGCTCATGGATCTTGCAAAGATGGTCTCAATCAGATTGACCTTCAAAATGAGTGTCTAACCAAACTCCCCAAGGAAAGAATGAACTAAAAATCACTTCATGAATGAGATGTTTTTTCATGATTGCTTCCTATTAAGTTGATAAATACCTACACAGCTTCTATCACCACTCCATGTAAATCACTACCTTAACTGGAGCATTTAGTGGCTACAATTTAGTGGATATATTACCTTGCACAGAGAATGAAGCATGAGTGGGCAGTTGCATATAATAGCTATGACAATGAAGATAGAATTCAGAAGCCATCGTTCTGGTGGCATGCATGTAGTCAGACAGAATTTATGGACCCAAACCAACTGGAGTTCCCTTGCTCAGTCACTAGCCTCAGGGGTAATCAGGAGCAAGTCACTTCACTCCACAGAAAGGCCTGTGAAATGAAGGCCCCAAAGTCTGCCTTTCCCACTCCATAAATGTGGAAGGGCTCAAATGCTGATGTGAGACTCTGGAAACTACAAGGCACATGTGAATACAAGTTATCATTATTATTCACTGCTACTTGGTTCAACAACCTCAGCTGAAACAACAGTCCTCTCTTCACCTTTGCATAAGGAAAGACACAGGATTACAACCTCAGACAACACAGAATTGCAAGAATAAATGAAGCAATGTTAGTGAATGTATCTGTCCCTCATTGAAGGAAGGTATTTTGTAAACTACTTCTACATAATACAGGAGAAAAAAAAACAGTCATATAATAACTTGTGTGAACAGTTAATGCAATGCAAATAAGTCCCTTCTTGGTCAACATAACTGAAATAAAATTTTATTGGAAACGACATACTGTAAAAAACTCTCTTATTGTGCCAACAATTAGCTTCTTAATTAGCTCTCAAATAGATATGCACTAATGGAGGCCATTGAAAGGAAATATTAAAACAATAAAACTTTTTAAAACCTAAAACATTAAAAGAAATTAGAAATTCACTTCTATGCAATAATATAAATGTCATCCCTCCCTAGCCCACACCCCACACTCCTGACTACTTCAAATTTGTTTCCTTCTCCCTCCTCCAATACTCACCCAAGGTTCAGATGTTTGAGTTTTTGAAGGCTACTGATCTGTGTGGGCAGCTCCTCGATCTGGTTATTAAAGAAGTTAAGTACCTCCAAGTTCTTCAGTTCTGCTATGTTTGGTGGCACAGCTATGGGAAGAAAAATAGTTGAGTGTGAGTTCTTTCAGATAAAATCCAGCTTGACCATCTAATTCACATATAGGTCATATTTAATTTTGTAGATTTTTCTTACATAGTAACTCACCATCAAGTTGAAGCAGAAATGCTTCTTCTTATATAATTAGGTAAAAAAAAAAACTGGCATAGTTTGTATCAGACAGACAGGGAAAGAGAGGCAGGATGGAAGAAAGGTTAAAAAGAAACAGCCTGTATGCGAATATGACAAAGTCCATGTGCTTTTAATTATCATATGCCTACTAAGTGCAATGGTTTTCTTCCTTTTGGTCTCCCTGCATCTCTACCAGAAGACAGACTGCAAACTTCAAATTCCTTCCTAAGTGAGGGGATAGTCACACTTTTTAAATCATCCCATATATGAAGAGCTGTCCTCTTTAACATTGCACTAAATCACAATTTAAGCTCAATGTTAAATGATAAAATATTCAACCTACCCGGTTTCTGATTTTGGCCTCTAGAGTAATGTATCTTGATCGATACACACACAAACATACACACACAAAGGTTACATCAGATTAGCAACTGATCAATAAACTGTTATTATAGAGAATACAGAAAGCCAATTCAGTAACATGCTATGAATAGTAGTATGCAGATCAAAGGTGAAAATAAGCCACCAGGGACCTGCAAGGGGTTTCTTCCCTATAGTCTATACCTGCAAATGCAAATCTAAAAGCCAAAGGCATCATTATCTTAAAAGTACAGTCAGCCCTCAGCACCCACAGGCTCCACATCTGTGCATTCAGTTCACCACAGGTCCAAAACACTTAGTACATCCGTACAGAACATATGCAGACTTTTTCTTGTCAGTACTTCTTAAACAGTGCAGCATATCAGCTATTTACACAGCATCCACATTGTGTTAGGTATTACACGTAACGTAGAGGGGATTTAAGATATATGGATGATGTGCACAGATTTTACACAAATATTGTGCCATTTTCTATAAGGGAGCTGAGTATCCTTGGATTTTGTTATCTGAGGAGTTTCTGAAACTAAACCCCTCCCCCCAAGAGAGTGAGGGACAACTGACCAACTCTAAATTGACAACAGAAAGATTTTCAATAGACTATAATTTACCCTTCTGCCATTCAGTCTCTTTACAGACATCTGTATGTGCCATGTGACGTGCCTCATGTCAACTCTGATACCAAGATTACTCAGGTAATGAAAAGCATTCACACAGGACTGGAGTCCAGCACAGGTGGAGTATGCCTCATATCAGCATGTTTTACTTCTTGTCCCACCAGCTCCCTCCTTTCCTTTTGTCCCAGAAAGTAGGAAAGCCATCCTGTCTGTCTGCTTGCCTGCCGCCTGTCAAGCCTAAACACAGAACCTGTAGCATTATATGAAACAGAACAAAGAAACCTCTTGCAACTGTTTTACGTGGGGCAGGGGGAGGCTAAGGGAAAGAGATGGTGGGAGTGATCTATCCAATGCATAATATAAGCTTATTTGGAATTGTCACTATGAATGTAAAAATTTAAAATTAAAAAAAGGAACCCCCAATGTATAATATATCCAATGTATAATATAAGCTTTTTGGAATTGTCACTACGAATGTAAAAAATTAAAATTAAAAAAAGGAACCCCCACAAAGATGGGCACAAAATTCCAAACACATGTCTAAAATATTTAAGGAGTTGATTATTCCCAGAGGGACAAGGTAAAGAGGACAAGAACACTATTCATTACAGTTTTTTATTTTTATTATAAGTTAATTAAATTTTTTTTCACTTTTATTAGCATATATTTATTGTATGGGGGGAATTCATTGTGCCAACTCCCAATAGCCTTACATTGTACATTGGTTAAATCACTCCCACCATCTCCCCCCACAACCCCCTCCCCTCCCCACTTAAAGCAACTGCAAGAGGTTTCATCATTCTATTTCTTGTATGTATATGAAGCCCATCAACCATATTCCATCACCTTCATCTCCTTTGTTGATTTTCAGTACTGAGAAATATCTCAGGTATTGATGACTTGATTTCTTTTATAGGGAAGGCTTAGTAAAAGATAAAGGAAATACCTTCATTGGAAGGAAGGACTGTAAAGAACATGAATCCATCTAGACTAAGATCCATAGCTAGAAACAGTGGTCCAGAGTTTTGGCTTGTATTAGTTTCTAAAGTGGCTAAAGATAAAAGAATTGATCTTAATGGAGTAATCTAGGAAGCTGGGAATTACCTCCAGAACTACTCTTGGCTACTAACACAAATGCATATAAAACTGACTTATACCATGTAGCTGCAAAATCACACTTAAGATATGTATACTTTTATGCAAATGAATGGTATTCACTTTACACAAATGATTTTCAAGAAAATCAAGGATCAGGCATGATGGTGCACACCAGTAATCACACCAATTTGGAAGGCAGATGCGAGATCACAGTTCCAGGCCAGCCCAGACAGAAGCACAAGATCCTATCTCAAAACAAGATGGGTATGGCAGTGGCTCATGTTTTTGGTCTTAGGTACTCAGGAAGCACAGGTAAGAGTATTGCAGTCCAAAGCCAGCCTGGACAAAGTGTGAGACCTTATCTGAAAAGGTAAACACAAAAGGGCTGGGGGCATGGCTGAAGTGGAGTACTTGCTTACCAAGTGTGAGGCCCTGAGTTCAATCTCCAGTACTGAGAGAGAGAGAGAGAGAGAGAGAGAGAGAGAGACAGACAGACAGACAGACCCTACCTTGGGGGCTACCTGTTTCTTTCCCAGACCATAAAGTAGAAAAGTGCAGTTACCCAGAGACCCAATCCCTCCCCCTTGTTCACCCTCCAGCTGCCACTAAGCCTCCTCTCACCACGCTGATCTGATTAGTTTGAAGAGCAATAAAGAAAGTTAGTGAAACCAGGAGAAAATGATGATCTCAATTTAGCCACAAACCAAGAATAATGCAGCCAGAATTACTGCCGCCTCCCCAAACTTACTCTGCCAATGCAATTAAATGCTGGTCTAAAGGTATCGCCTTTTTGACAGGATGAGAGATTATTTCACTCTCCTTGCTAAATCAGTCCAATTTAAAACCACAAATTATGCTAAATGTGATTTAGGACTTTGTTTTGTGTTCCCAAACAATAACCCCATGTTCAATTTACCAAACCTCTCCCAGCCTTTTGGTGTGCATGTGAATTTTTTCTTCAAAGACTCCATACATCTGAAAAGGGGAACACTTGCATAGCTAATATTCCCCTAAACTACGTATTTTTTCCCCCAGCCATAGTAACAAAGTCAAAAAGAAGTTGACTGCTCTGGATGGGAGGCCATTCACTTTTCCAACCAATATTTAGAGAATCTTTATTATGTGCACAGCATCACACCCTTCGCTGCAGCATGGTGATACTTTGGGGATAAAGTAAGAGAACCATGCTGTTTAAGAAAGCAAGTTACAAGAGAAGGGGTACTAGAGTCAAAACTGAAATAGCTCTAGTGCTTGGGAAACAAATCCCAAGAAAAACATCCATGAAAATGAAATAGTTACAATACAAAGTGTGCAATGACTAAATCATATGCATCCAAGGTACAAATAATTTTTTAACTGTAGTGAAATATGACTGCAACATTTTACCAGTCAAAATCCTCAACTGGAATTTTTCAAGATTCTACATGATACATTAGCAAGAAGCAGCACTTTAAAACAAAATTGTGAGCATCAGTGCATTTCTTATTATGACTCTAAGCCATTCTTTTCCATCCATTTGTCCAGCATCTGACCCATGACCCCAGCTGTACCCACATGCTCTAGAGAGAACACAGAGCTGAGCACACATAAGAAATGGAGGAGATCATATGTACCTTAGGCTGGTCATCACAGGGGTGACTCAGGCCTTTCTTGACTCAGCCTTATACTTGCTGGGTATTTTCTTCTCAACTCACAACTTCTCTGAGCCTTCACTGGCTCCAGGGTAAGATGAGAAGGCTGCATTACAGCCATTTCTAAATATCTTCTACCTGTTTTTAACATTTTCTGATTCTAAGAAGAGCTGGATTGTAAAAATCAATGATAATGGATTTAAGTAATGCAACAATGGGGCCCCAATTAGGATGCTCAGTCATGAGGAACTTAGCTTATGACAAAGAATTTAATATTATTTTCTGTCTCACCCATGACAGTTCCTTTAACTTTGAAACTTCAGTCACTAGTTTTGGGGGAAAAGCTGTAATCATTCCCAGGTATTCCCTCCCTCCACCCTCCAACTGCTACCTCCTACCCCAACAACAAGAGTACATTACTTCTGGGGACCCTCTCAGTCCAGGGTTTTGGCTGGTGTTTTGAAAAGGCAATAAAACTGTATTCATGCTGCCCCAAGAACTATACCCATCTAGACTGGTCTCAGAGTATTTTTCTGGGATTTGTAAAAATCCAACTAACAAGCCTAGCATCGCTCTAGCATTCTTCAAGTCCTTCTAAATCACAGAATCTGAACATTATCCCAGAGTTCTGTCTACTGTAAGTGCTGGTCCATACTCAACAATTTAGCCCCCACCCACCCAAGTTTCTAGGTTCCAAGAAGCCCACAATGCCCGATGGACGTGCTAGCATCTCTCTGAGAAGCTCCCTTAGGCTGGAAGCCACAGAGGACACCCCCTTCTCTCCACCTCACTTTGAACATCACGGACCACAATGCCAAATGTAAGAAACCACTGATGCAGCTCTGTTCCTGGATGAGTTTCACTCTTTCTAAAAGAACATGTATCTTCCCTCATCGGTTGCATTTACAACAGGCATAGGCTACCTATTACTCTCAAGAATAGACTCTACCCAACCAGCTAGCAAACAGCAAGCTGCCCCCAGCAAAAGGAGAAGCAGTAGAAACTATTGTTACAGTAACAGGAGTGTCACTCTTGGATTCTGTTCTATGAGTTATAATCAATTCTATGAACAATCATTTATTTGTAAAGCATTCTAGGAGTTTATCCATACAACAACAAATTGTTCTGGAGCTGGGC